AAAAAAAAAAAAAAAACACTGGCACAAACTCAAGTGATGAAAAAAACCGGAACAGCCCATTAACCTTCGTTTCGAATATGATGAGGTACTGAATTAACTCTATCTGTGCAACTAATACCCTTCTAAGCTAAAAGAAAACAAATTACTTTTTCGGAAAATGGTTAGAAAACGCTTACCATCCCAAACGTCAACCATATCCTTAACCCGTAATTAACTTCAATGTGCAGGGCCTCTTATGGTTTCTAAAATTTATACCATTACTCTCTGACTGACAGAGACAGAAATGCGAAACCGTCCTTTCATTAATAGGCCTTCTAAATAACAAAGTAACTTATTATATAGAAAAGAACCGCATATAACAATATACAGGAGTTTGGAGAATACTGAAGAAATAATGAGTATACGGACGCCGTTCAGTCTATCTTCGCTGTCGCACACATGTACCAATCTCCCTAAACTGTACTCCACTTCAAGCAATAAGAAAAAAAGCGTGCGTAACTTCGCCAAATTACACCAAAATACAAAGTATAGTGAGGTGATTTAAAAAGCATCAAATCGAAATAGACGAAAGATAAACGTAATCATTATATGTAGAAAGTTTATAAAAATTTTTAAATGCTAAACAAAACTGGGATAAAATAAACAAGGTGATAACAAAATCCCAGGTGCATAACTTCAAAACTCAACGTACAAACGTGGGAACGAAAAACTGTGGCAATAACAACAAAGAAATATCGGACTGACTGCCTACTATATCTTTTCTACCTTCAAAAAACAAAAACAAACATTATGGAAAACAACATGAATACTTACTTAACAATGTAAGCAAAGCCCCTGATTTCCAAGAGCAGACAATTGTTCATATAGAGAACTAGAAACAACGCCTTCTATATTCGATCATTCAACAAAAACAAAAAAACTTTAACATAGCTGTAAAAGGTATTAACAACCATTGCCTGACTGAACTTAAATTTTTGTTGGCAGTTTCTTTAAAACATGAAAAATAAAAACCACCTAATAAATTTGATCCCTTCAAAGAATAACGCAAAGAAAACCAATCGGTGACAGGTAGTAGAAAAGAGAATTGCCTTTTCTAAAAGTGCTATGGTTAAGTGGTTTTGACAGAAGCTAACTAAAAACAAACAAGTAGAACCTATTCACCTGTTAAAATCAAGTCCTCGGTATTTCTGATGCCAAGAAATGGAGAAAATTATCAAAAACAAGAAACACAATTCGCAAAAAAGTGAAAAATTTTTCGAGTATCGTTTTAGATGAGTTTACCATACAGTGTGCATCTAACTAGGATAAATCTTTTCTGTAATGACCCCTAATTGTCGTAAGCTGAAAATCTGATTAATCACAAATCATGTGTACCGCTGAAATATATTCTTCGCCTTATTCCCCAGTGCATTTAATTCGCACGTTTGTTCCTGAAAACAAACTGCAGTGGGTACAAAAATTCAGCATAGATTGACAAGAAAAGAGAAACAAAATAAACAATTTGTTACAAAAGACTGAAAGTTTGTGAAGATAAAAAGCCCATACTTTGGAAAAATCGTATTACTAACCTCGGTCAAAGCAAAATTCTTCTTAGATAACCACTCTTGATACTTTCTTTGTTCAACTCCCGTCCAGCACTCACCACCTCCATAAGCTTCCCCTTCTTTGATATCCTTTTTGTCCGAAGAGCTGTGTTTGCCTAAACAGTGACATGATTATAAAACTAACTGCAGATAAAAAATCAACTAAAGCACTTCATACACTTTACCAAAAACACTTAGTTTTTCTAGCTCCCTGACAACATCCTCTGGCAACTTTTCGGATAACAAATGGCAATCACGGAACACGAATGGAGCAGAAAGGGCTTCGCAATAAGATATAGGTCTACTAGAAGAACTTTTAAATAGCCGCACAAAAATAACAGAAAAGAAAAGGAAAGCACAGGCAAATTACCAGCGTCCCAGTTTACAAGGCAAGGGTCAAAACAAGACTTAACACAATGACCTAGAGTTCAAGATTATTTTTTCACATAAGTACAAACTAAATGAAGAAATAAACCACGAAGCAGTAAAATGTTCTAGCTACAAAAGAAAACATATTTTTTAAAAGTTGATGCTGACCTGGAATCTCCGTCTTTAACTTTATCATCTAGTTCATCATCACTTATCGTTACCAACGCACCCGAATTGGTGATGAAGGAAAAGTCGATTGGCTCAGCAAAGTCACCTTAAGCAATAGAGAATCAAAAGTCATTAAAGCCTGCAGTGCATCAATGTGCCAAAAGAGTGTTATTGACCTTTCTGACTAAGATCAGTGCCAATTTCAGTATCTGAAACCAATTCCGCTGTAGAAGATTCAGCGCGCTCATTTAACGAAAAATTTTCCTCTGAGCTGTTTGAAACAAGGTCTGCTGCAAATCCACTTCCATTACTATAACGCTATTTAGAATCTCCACTTCAGCTCCATGTGAATTTAAAAAAAAAATAAATAGACCAAAAAATATAAATACTTTCACTTTCACTAGAAACACGATCAGCTTGAAATGATTTTGCTTCCGTCAACGACTCGCTCATTCTCTGGTCATCATCGCTAACTTCTAACAGGATTGAATTCTTGGCATCTGGACCGTCAACTAAAGAAGAAATACGAGATCGCTTCTTTGGAATCTTTCTGTCTACTGGAAAAAGAAAAACAAATCATAAGATCTCCGCATATAAATAAAAAACAACTCACTAATGTTCTTGCAAAAACAAAGAAGGTTAATAAACCAGCCTTTCAGAAACCTGAAACTAAATTCGAGCTTACTTCTGAAATTACACAAAAAAAAAGTCTAGAAACCGACGGCCCCCTATTATCAAGACTTTTTAAGGAGAGCTCAAAAAGATCCCCGGAAAAACGCCACATGATCAACGCTCAAAATGAACAGAAGAAAAGTAGAAAATACAAAATAGATGCA